TCGAGATCAGAGAGGAGTGCCATACAGCAGCCTGAAAGAGTATTTGATTATCGTGAAATATCTGAGGTAAGAAAGAACATTCCACTATAATAATATAATTAATAAAGTCATGAACTACTGTACAATTGATTTACAGAAGAAAAGAAAGTAACTATTTGAGATTAAACTGTAAATTAGAGATAAAGAGTATATCTTCTTCACAGCTCGAGGCTGGCACATGGCACATGGCTCTTGAATAACATCCGATGTGTCTCTCTTGTTTATAAGAATTTAAAACCCATTCAAAGAGTAAGTGTTCTTGGCATTCATAATTGTATAATATTATAATGATATTTAATCAAATATTACGATAATATATTACTCAGATCGTATATGATAACATAAATATTATATATAATTTGTTTGTTTGTAAGAAATATTGTTTTTCATCTTACAAGAACTGATTTACTTACATTTAATAACTTTATATTGTTTATCATTCCTAAACTAGAATTTTGTTTCTTTTCTAGGAGTGGTTTTTTTTTTGTTTCTTTGTTTTGTTTTGTTTTATTTTTTTATGGTTTGTTTGGTTCTTCTGAAGTTGTGATTTATGCGTCCCTGGGGCTGTGAACAAGAATGAAAGAGCCCAGGACATTGATGAAGACAAGGAAAGAAAACACCTGAGAAGAACCAGAAGAATAAAAGTGACAGGTTGGAATACAACCATTTGGGACATTTATTTTTGTAGATGAAAGTTTATTTTACTGTAGAAATGTAATGATCTTCAACTCAATATATCAACAACAAATGTAAACTTATTAAGTGGTTTGATATTATCCCCTTCTCTCAGTTACCTCTAAGGGTGAAATGAGATCATAAGTAACCTGTATGAATATATATATTTTAGTGTGGGTTCTAAAGAGTACTTTTGGAGAAACCACACACTTGTATTAACAGATAGTGCCCCTCTGGATAAAGTCTGAGTGGTTCCCAGAGCAAAGAGAAGTAATAAGGTCTTTGCTAAGGAGCATAGAAAAGGGAGGGCGCAATATACTCCACATAACTCGATCTCTCTGTAGTACTGGAGAACGCAACCAGGCTTCCACTGGGGGGGGGGGGTAGTCACCCTGACTAATTTGACTGTGAACAATGGAACCCCTACTAATGACAAACCTAGAAAACCTCTTTTCAAAATCCCCACCAAGAATGCAAGGTTCGCGAATGTTAAATGCGTGAATGAAAATCAATCGCTTTTGAACATGAACCCCTTTATCATCAAAAAAGTCGTTGATGGTCAAGTGTGCAGCGATTTTGTCAAAAAATTGCGAGATGGAAGCCTCCTTGTACGATATAACTCCCAGATTAGGGATTTACGCAAACTATTCCTATTGGACCAAATACCTGTAAAGGAGTAATCTTTCACAGGGATTTGAGGACGATGGAAGAAAGTGAAATTTTCGAGAGCATAAAGGACCAAGACGTAGTGGACGTTCATTGTATGACCAAGAAGGATGGGCCTGTCAGTCGTCTCCCTCGCCAGGAGATGCAGGACATGGATGCTTCTATCTCCAAACCATCCCGAGGGATGTCCCCGGGAAGCGAGGGAGAGGAGGCACCTCCCTCCAATAAAAAGGAAATTAAAACTGGCGGGCAAGGCACTCCTAAACCCCAGAAAATGTAATCTTCGCGGCGACCAATATACAGTGGAACTGTCGAAGTATTAGATCTAAAGTAAATGACCTTAAATTATTAGCCTCGTCCTATGCTCCCGATATTATAGTCCTCCAAGAAACCCATTTAACGCAATTCGTCTCTGACGAGGTTGTTTCGCTGAGGAACTACCATCTGTGTCGGAAGGACCGTGAGGGTAGGGGTGGAGGCGGAGTCGCCATGTACATCCACCAAAGCCTCCCTTTTACTGAAGTGACTATTGATACTACTTTGGAGTTTGTCGCATGCAAATTAAAAATTAATGGCATGTATCTGACTATATGTTCAGTTTATTGTCCACCTGATAATGTGATAATCTATGATGAGCTCTTTGCTCTTCAGGGTAGTCTGCCACAAAATAAATTAATTTTAGGTGATTTTAATGTTCATCATACGTTATGGGGTTCCCTGCGGGTTGAGGTGAGCAAGTAGTTAAGTTGATTAATGATTCTGATTTAGTCCTGAACGATGGTAGTCCGACGTGGGTTGACGATAATACCGGTAATTTGAGCTTTATTGACATATCAGTGGTCTCTTCATCAATAGCAGCCAAGTGCCTATGGCACACCATTGACGACTCGTTGAGAAGCGATCATCTTCCTATCTTTATTGAATATTCATGCGACACAGTGAGAACGCCTTCAGCACCTAAATAAAAAGAGCAGACTGGGTCGCCTTCACAAGGAGCGTCAAGCTCGAACTAGTTGGAGAAACCATTGATGATAAAGTTAAAAATATTCAGAATTCGATTTTAGATGCAGCATTGCTATCCATTCCTAAAACTTCGACAGATAGCGTTAAACATAGAGTTCCATGGTGACACCAGATTGCGCAGGGCGCTGTGCCAACGCAATAGGATCTACAGGCTTTTAAAAAATAACATCAATAACGAGAACTTTTGCAACTATAAACAAGCAAGAGCTAGGGCTCGTAGAATAATAAGACAAGCAAGAAGAGACTCCTGGCGGAGCTTTGTCTCTACAATTAACAGCAATACAAAAATATCAGAGGTTTGATCCACTGTTAATAAAAAAAAGTAAGTAAAAAAAATCTTTCAAAATTAAAAACATCCACGAGGGTCCTAATTTCGATTCACCTAGAGACATTGCTAATGCACTCGCCAGGCAGTTTTCTTAAACAAGCAGCTCAGACAGTTACTATCCTGCATTCCTGACAAAGAAAGAAGCGGCAGAGCTGCAACCTATTCACTTTGCCACATGAGATGACTTTGATTACAATAAATATCTAACAATGGATGAGCTTGTCCGAGCCCTAGAAGCCTGTAGAGGAACATCCCCAGGCCCCGATGAGATTCGATATGAGATGATAAAGCATCTTAATCATGATGCCATGATGCAGTTGCTAGAAGCAAACTCATAGCACTTTGCCCACATCATTCCCATATTGAAAGGAGGGGGTAATCTCAGATCCACCATCTCCTACCGCCCAATTGCGTTGACAAGTTGCTTATGCAAGGTTATGGAACGAATTGTTAACAATAGGCTATTGCATTTTTTAAATTCCAGTAATTTGCTAATTGACGAACAGTGCGGCTTCCGAAAGGGACGCCAAACTCTCGATCAATTAGTTAAACTGGACAGTCATCTTAAAGAGGCAGTTGCCAAAAAAAAATATTTTATTTCACTTTTTCGGACATTTTTGTCCAGGCAAACGGGGTCCCACAAGGAAGTGTCTTGTCACAACATTATTTCTATGTATGATAAATGACATCTTACCAGCTCCCCCTCGGAATCTTAAATACACACTGTATGCTGATGATTGTGCATTATGGCATTCCAGCAGTAATGCAGAATTCTCGGCAAATCGCATCCAACTGGCACTGGATATGATTCATAACTGGGGCCTCCAGTGGGGTTTTAAGTTTTCTACTAGAAATAGTATTGGGGTAATTTTTTTCACTTAGGACGAAGCCGAACATCAGGCTAACTCTAGACAACCACCCAATACCTATTCAAAATTCTGCTAGATTTATTGGTCTACTATATGATCATAGACTTAATTGGAAAGGCCACATTTGTCAGTTAAAGAATAAATGCCAAAGAGCACTAAATTTATTAAAGTGCATTTCTGGTAATAAATGGGGAGCTGATAGAAAGTCTTTACTAATGATATATAAAGCCCTGATTAGGTCTAAAGTAGATTATGGGTCAATCGTGTATGGCTCAGCATCGAAATCAAGTTTGAAAGATTTGGCTGTACAGAATGCTTGTTTGCGTGTGTGTGTTGAAGCCCTCCCCTCCCCTCCGACTCAGACGCGGCCAGTTAGCACTGACCTATGCCGCAAAGGTGGCTCGAGACCCAAGCCACCCTCATGACAATGGAGGCACTAGGCCCTTTGCCAAGCGACTCCACGACTTCGTGGAGAAATTCGGTATAGATCTCTCTACCATCGATACCCTGGTTCAGTCAAACATAGCGCCATGGGATACCCCCAACTTTTCTATGATGGAAGCCTGGCTTCCATCAGCCAAGGCCATGGCGCCGGAGGTGGAGATACGGCAGAGGTTCAGAGAGATCCTCATTAAACATCTCCCTTTTTTCATATATATACGGATGGCTCCAAGACAGATGAGTGTGTGGGTGTGGGTGTATGGTCGACTGAATGTGAACTAAAGTTCAGACTGCCGAATCATACATCGATCTTTCTTGCTGAATTTTTTGCCATTGATAAAGCTATCAATTTTGCATTATCGACGAGCCACGATAGAATAGTTATTTTTTCAGATTTATTTAGTTCACTTAAAGCCATTAAATAATTAGAAACCACTAAAAATGAACTGCTGGTTCATATCATTCGTAAGTTACATAGTACCAACAAATCAATCAAGCTAATATGGGTACCAGGCCACTCTGGTATCTATGGCAATGAACGGGCTAACAAATTAGCCGAGTCAACTGGCGATCTGGACATTAACATAGTTGGTACAGATCTTGGTGTTTTGTGTCTCTTATAAAAGCAAAAATACATCTCCTGTGGCAAAGTGAGTGGACCAACCTAGACATAAACAATAAAACCAAAACAGCAATAGAAACATGGGACACAGCCCACAGAACAAATAGAAGAGAAGAGGTGGTGTTGGCGCGCCTGAGAACACCAAAATCACACACCTCACACCATATATAGAAAGAAAATATCCACCACAGTACCCCCATTGTACAAATCAACTAATAATAACCCATCTCCTTATATCCTGCCATATATACAAAAATAAGAGAATAAACATCACAAATTATTTTCCAATTAAAAACATACAATTTACAACATCAAATCTGTTATCAGATGATGAAAAGATAATACGTAAAATAATAACTTCTCTAAGGGAGACAAAACATCATGACCTTATATAGATTGATATAAGGAATAGGACCCATTGGCTTTATAACCTTAGCCACAAGCCGCTGGTTGATAGCCAAGAAATCCAACAAAGAAGAAAGAAGAAGAGGGGAAGATAGTTCGGTCCTGACTTCTATGGTGTACAGTGGTCCCGCTCTCGGTGTTATTTGTGCTTGACTTAGATTTACTTCGCTTCGCAAAGTTAAGTATTATTTTTATAATTGTGTGTAGGAGACACCTGGTCTTTTTTGGACTTTGTCATGTGACATGCTGCATTACCATCTGCAGGGTACTCTCTCTTTCACAATGTCCTAAAGCAGCACTTTGTGAAATCAAAGTGTCATAGCATAAAAGGACCACTTCACATAGAAGGGACACTGCTTGAGGATCCGTACCTCCAGTGTGCCATTTAATGTTTAAACTGAGTTATTACTTTGTTTTTTTCTCAGCTTGAGGATCCGTACCTCCTGGGAGAAAGATCTTCCACAATCTCGCCCATATTTTCAGGGCCATGTTAGCTTGTCTTTGCTCTTTTACCATTTTACGTTGTCTTGGTTGATTTCTGCCTTTTGCTCTTTTGGTGTTTTTTTTTTCTCTCTTTTTACTTGGCCTCCGATGCTAAATTGTTTCTTACACTACGTTTTTTTTCTTAACTACACAAGTGTTTCTCAGCACTAGTTTCTTTTTAAGTTAATCTCCATTCTGGGTTGGAGATTAATTTGTTTAAATTAGGGTTTGGTGTATTTTCGTGCT